CAACCGTGTTTGGAATTGGAACAACGAAATTGGAAGACACTGGATTTCTACAGGAAGCACCAGGATGTAATCACCCCTGCCGGATTGACCTTTTATCAGGCCGATTGGGATGACAGTGTCCAAGAATTTTATCACAAAAGTTTGCGTGAGTATTTGTGAGAGTGATTCCATTGAAAATAAAAAATCATCAATCTCCCCTCTTCATTATGAATTTATAAATAATCTCCAAGTTTTTACTTTTTGGTTTACCTCAATGAATATATGGCAGCATTTAATTTGATTTTGTGAGGAATTTTCTTTTGGTTTTTTGATTTTTTAAAAATCAGGGTAGTGGCTTTTTATTTATTAGATTATGATTCTGGTTGGATTAAAATTATTGCATAATCAATAATCACGAAGAAAGTTTTACCAAAAGGTAGATGAAAATCTCCTTTAATTTCTGTGATATTTTTAAATCAATGTCAAAGTGAAATTCAATCGTCTTTGTTACCATCTCCAGACCGAGTCGATTAAACATTGGAATCAAGGGGCAATTGATAAAATGAGATAAGGCAGCCTCAAGGGTGAGTTCTTTGATGGGTATCTTTCAATTGAACAGAGATGAGAGGATTCCTTTCTTTCTAGAGCGAAATACGAGCTACAAATGACGCATCGAAAGTTTTGCCATTTCCCTCCAATTAAAAGATCCAACGAAAACAAAACTCTTGGCGAAAGTGCCTCATCTCCTTTTATCATTTTATTACTGAAATAATATTTAACATGGAGAAAACGTAGTACTCTTTCTGCAGTAATCCCTGCTTTATGCGCCCCATAAAAATGTATTGAGTGTTGAGAAATTTTTAACTCCACCTTTTCCATAAATTTTTCCAGAAATGAAGGCTCCAATCTTCGAATACGACTTTCCCCCGCCTTACATTCGCCCTCAGGAATGGTTCCCGAAAGGCAGACCCTTTAATTTGTACTTGGATAAGTACAGAGACCCGAAGGATATCAACAAGGACTTCCTCCTGAGGAAATTAAAAGAGATAAACCCCTTCAGAGAAACAAAACCTAAATACAAATATCCAAATGCTCAAGAATTCACGAATACGCCGTCGTGGCTGGTACTTGAGAAAAGAAAGGAACGCTTGGGCCGGGGACGTGTGAACGAAATTAACTAATTTATTAGTGAGTACTGAATAAAACATCATAAATAAAATATTGAACATTCGAAAATTCGTCAATCATATCGCGTATTCGCCTCGACGATCTGTTGACTGCGATTCTTTATATCCTCTCGGGTAAGGACTGATGCATCGATCACCTCGTGCTCCACTACGATTCCTACATAAATTATGGAAAGTGAACAAAAGAATATTAGATTAGACTAAATGCGAGAGGTGGAGAAAATTGGGTCGGAAGTTCACTTGCCAAGAATTTTGTAAAACGAAATCAGTAACCAAGTGATAAAATCAGATAAATCAACTTTAACCCATTCATTAATTAATCGTACAACTCGAAAATTATCGATTTAAAATGAATACATTGACGAACTTTTTTACGACTCATTAAGTTTTCACCGAAATTCTTTATCTCGCGAGTGGAGAAGTTGATTTTTTTCCACTGCAGAAGGGGGAAGGGGGAAGGG